GATGCAATCAGCAGCACATAGTTAATTTTACTGTTTCTGACAATGTATCCAGGCTAAATAAGCACACAATTACATGGGCTGCAATGTTCTACAGGAGAAATGTGCATTTCACTGACAATCATCAAATAATTTTAAAAACTCTGACACGATGGTTTCTGGAAAATACACAGCTAGATGTTCTCCATCTGTTTTTTTTTCAAAATTTGCTGTATTTTGGGTTACGTTTCAGCCCATGTAGAATTTAAGCAGTACACCCAATTCTCTTCACCTACATACATGCCTTCCCTCTAATGAACTTCACTCAGCTGCTGCTCTGTATCACTGTGAGCCTCCTCCTTCGCATCACAATCACTTTAATAAGAAAGCAATAGCTCTAGGACTACATGTCTGACAAACAGATCCTTAAAATACGTTTCACTCTTTTGTTCAAGGCAACGGAAGAACACAAGGAATTCACAGGGGGGTATGAAAGCCGAAAAACTCAAGTGTAGCATATGTGGCGGTCATTTGAGAGATGCAGTTGTTCATAGAAAGAAAAATAAGATAAAATAAAAGCAATCCTAAAATACAAAAGGGCATGATTCATTACGTGGTTACGTAAGACAGCAGTGCCATAACACCGTTTAAGTCATCTTGCAGCAGCATGACACTGGTGTAAGAAGGGATGAATCAAACCCTGTGTTTTCATTTCAAATGGATGCTCAAGCATCAAACAGCAGGAAGAGCTCCAGCTTCAAATAGCTCCTGACAAGGTCCCTCCAAAGAAAATTGTGAGGGTGGGTTCGGCTTGGGAGATGTAGTCACACAACTGCCTTCAGCTTTGGTAGGAAACTGGCTACAAATAAAAAACATTTCAAATGTGGTGGTGTTCTTCTAAGATATGCAGAGGCATTTTCCACCCAACGTGGAGAGGAGGCACACACTGCTCAGAGCAGGGCGAGCAGCGGAAGCACAGCGGGCTGTGGGGAGGACCAAGGTCACCTCCCTTCCCTGCTGCCCAGGACTTTTAATGCACTTCTACAACAAATGTAGATAATTATATATTTATTTTAACAGAATATTTTTTTTTTCCCTTAGCTGAGTTGCTGCCTTGTCCCCAAGGAGCTTTTATCATTACATTAAAGATCTTATTTTTGCTCTAACTGACAGACGCTGCAAACTATCTATAAAGTCTGGCAGCCAACTACAGATATCTGTTCTCTGCAGATTTATTATACATCACTGATCCCCTCATGGAGCAAATTCACCTCATTCTTGAGTACAGTCACTGGATCAGAAGCAAACCAGACTACAGACTACCTCTGAGGTCAGATACTTGAGTCCCCATCCCGGCAGACAGCTAGGGAGGAAGAGGCAAGGCCAAAGCCAGAGCCCAACAAATTCACAGAGATTCACAGATTGGTAGGGGTTGGAAGGGACCTCTGGAGATCATCTAGTCCAACCCCCCCGCTACAGCAGGATCACCCAGAGCAGGTTGCACAGGATGGCGTCCAGGCGGGTTTTGAATCTCTCCAGAGAAGGAGACTCCACAACCTCTCTGGGCAGCCTGTTCCAGTGCTTGGTCATCCTCACAGAGAAGTTTTTCCTCATGTTCAGATGGAACTTTCTGTGTTCCAGTTTGTGCCCATTGTCCCTTGTCCTGTCACTGGGCCCCATTGAGAAGAGTCTGGCCCTTTCCTCTAGCAAACTAAATCCGCAGATATTCTCCACCTGCTGACAACTGTAATGGATTATGGCGAGGGTGTATTTTCTACATATGCAGGACACTCAGACTCAACTAAGTAAATTCTGTTGTCGCACAGCCCAAACCTAAAATATATACCACAAGGAACAAAACACAAGAATTTACCGCAGTTACTAAAAGGAAAAGGAACTGTGATTTAATATTGCAATTTAGTGCAAGATACATGGAAATGGGACACCTGGTGTGTTAGCTCTAATGTGCTTTCCTGTGCAAGTGTGGGAAAGCACTGAGCCGAGCCTCTGTTTATCCTCCCGTAAGCCAGATGTCTTATTTACCTATTTACCAGTGGGGTAATTGCTGTGGTCTTAATGGTCTCTTTATCAGGCGCAGTGTTTTGGAAGTGTTTCAGGCTAAAAGGCGCTATCAGGTGCAAGGCACAGACAGCAGCATGGGGTGAGGAACAGGCATTGCACAATAGTAGGGTGTTTTTCAAACCATTTACCAAATGAATCTATAACCTTCGGCAATGCAATCAGAAGGAAACGGTTTTGCACAGACACAAGCGTGACTGAAGCACTAGAGTCGCAATAAAACTGAAAGCAAATGATCATGACATAGGCCACAATATTCTCTCTGCCTATTACATCGCATCATCAGTGCTAATTTCATTTCTCTCTGGAAATGGTACAACTATCTGTTACAGTTATCTACAATTTAAGTACATTTCTATTTTTCCCTATATTCTTGCTTTAGGAATTTGACAGTGTTTTGTGAGGCTTTTGTTCCTGATCAATCCCATGTTGCCATGTGTCTGCTCCTGACAAATCTCATCAGGAACACACCCCTGTAATGGCTTGGAAACCCTCAGGATATGTGGATGGATGTCATTTACTCGAGCTGATCTGTTCCCCAGACTCCCTGTTGGCATCCCTTGAACAGGTGAGTGTTCATCTGGTATACATCAGCTGAGCTCTCTTGGGACTCATTTACATCAACCAAGAATCCAGCCCAAAATATAAAGATAATTTCCCATGTATTTGACTGTCAGACTGTATCCCTTGCTGAAAGGACCATTATCAGAAAAGAAGTGCTAGAAACACTTAAGACATGGTGCTGGAACTGCAATTCTGGCAAGCTTTTTGCATAGCAGGTGAAGTAGGGGCAGATGCTCCTCACCAGCCCTTGTCCATTCCCTGACTGCATCAACAGAGACATGAGCTAGATTTTGCCTGCCACAACAGTTTCTTGCAATTGTTATAAAGGACAAAACAATCAAACCAGAAGGCATCAGGTGATAAACTCAAGATTATTGAGAACTTGGGTGGAAACCTTCTTTGGAAAAGTAGATCAACGTTAAATGGACATCTGTCTTTGTGAAGAGTATTTAAAAATATGGACCTGGGACACAATACCACAACAAAAGTCTATTTAAGGCCTTGCCAAGCCCATCAGGTTCAAGAAGAATAAAAGAATAAATGTAAGAAAATATAGCTGCCGAATAAAGAAACAAAAATGACCATTGTTACTAAGGGGAAAATAGATGGATGTCACCAGTTAATTTTGCAGTAACATAAACTATTAAATTCGCAAATACTAAAGGATTCAAGGAAGACACTATTCATGGTAACATATGAGACCACATGAAGGACTATCCCTAATCAATGCAAATACCAAAAATTACAACCAAAGTGAATCTCTGAGCTCTGCCAAAGATGCCTAGATACCTATCAATCTAAAAGCTGGACTTAATCAAAGTTATATTCTGCCATTCCTCCTCACATCGAGGGATACCAGAAGTGATAATTCATGCTCTTGGTGGTCCCTTTGACTTCAGGGTTATGGCTCGCAAAGTGATGTTACTGCTCCGTCGTAGGTTAACAGTGGCTGAATCTGTCCAATCCCATTTTCTGCACCTTTGCAAAAATAGATCTGATTCTTCCAGAATGTATCTTGCAATGAAAGAACTGACCTCCTCAAACTGAGCGCTTGTGCTGTGCACAGGGATGGAATTTCGCATTACGTACAAACATCTCTATCCCACCCTGAGATGAGACTCGAGGTAACGCTCCCCGAGGCGGAACTGAGCCCGCAGAAGCCGGCACGGCGCAGTGCTCTCTCGGTGAGTGGGCAGCCAGAAAGGAGAGCAGCTGAGGATGCTAATGTAAACGAAAACGCACGGTGCAGTCAAAGGTACATTTGGAGTGCAAATGTAAATGACGCTGTGCAGTCACAGGACCGTGACTACATGGCATTAAGGGGACTTTGCACGATCTGGCTGTGTGGCTACAGCCCTGCAAACAGATCTGTGGATTAACTGCACTAAGCAAATAGCCAGAGCAAAAAGAAAAGCAGGGTTCGATGCCGTTCACTGAAATTTCACTCTGTCCCAAAGCATAGCCAGGCCTAATTTGCTTTTGCTCTGGCAGATACAAGAGGAAAAATATGCAAAGCTGTCACTTGTCCCAGCTGTCAGGATTGCAAAACAAATGAGAGATTTGAATAAGTTTACTTAATTGTTATCAGTATTAAAGGTACCTTAAGGGAATCATTCATAGAAGAGAATAATTTGTAGTAGATAATAAATGACATTTTCCTCTGTTTTCCTCCTTGGGAAAAATCTATTAAGACTTTATAATTAAAACTCCTGAACATAGTTCAACTAAATGTTTTTAATTGAAAAATGGTCTATTTAAAAAAATGTCCTTTTTTTTTTTTTTTCATGAAAACAGTTTGCTCTCTTGAGAAATGCCACTGAAAATTATTAACTGATGTTCTTCATCAAAACCGCTAATAAAACATTTCTTTACTCACTCAGCGACTTGAAGCCATAAAATTTTGGCTAATTCCATTTCTATTTGAAAATCTTGGCCAAACAAAAAAAATTATTTTCTCTAATCCCTTTTAATAACAGTAATAGAGATTATATGGGAAGATATAGAACATGTTCAGGGATGCATGTGATTCACAAAGCGGTCCCTTTTCCCCTGTACCCCACACAGATTAGCCCAATCAGTCCGCAGTGACCAAGAGAGAACATCCTTTCTGTTCAGGGTTTTGGTTATGGGGTTGGTTTTTTTTTTATTTATTTATTTCACACTTCGGGATCATCAGTTCACATCAAAGGCACTGCAGTTTGATTCCATACATCCATATGTATTCGTAATGGAAACAGAGTAATAAACTAAAACCAGACTATCAGCACTATACTGAATCTCCTTCTATAGGTTATAAGCAGATTCTTTGGAACAGTAAATTATTCATTTCCTAAGTTCTTAGCATAATTTCAGCGAGAACAAAATTAAAAATGTTTACTTACTGATGTATATAGATATCCTTCACTGTTCATTGCCAGATACAATTTTGTTTGAACCCCCTGAATCGCCACCACTCGTAAACCCACAGGTATGAGGTTAAACAAAGCTAGGAGAGAAAGGAGAGGAAGAGCAAAATTAATCCTTTAGAGTATGCAGATTAGATAGAGAATGAAGCCATAATTACCAGAACCAAATAAAAAATGTCCATTCATGCATATATTAATTTCTGTGGGTGCTATAGAACAATACTGCTACTATCGTGGTCTTCTATAATGATGTCCACTAATAGCTCAGAGATTATCTACAGAGGTTATCAACTTATCTCCCCCGTTCTGAAGATGGTGAATTGGAAGTACTGAGAGCTAAAATGACTTACCTGCCTCAGGAGCAGAATCCAGGGTCTGCTGAACATACTAATTTTCCCTCCCCCCCCCCCCGACAATAAGTACAAAAAATATTAAAAAATCCAAACCCAAAAAGTTTTTCAAGACGATCAAAACTTCTTTTGTTTTTGCAAATTCAGATCAAATTCAGTAAACATTTTTGACCAAAAGGCAGGAGCAAGGTGAACTTCAGAAAAGTTAAAAACCTTCATTAACACCTTCAAATATTTCCACTCAAAACCCATTTTTTTTTTCTCTTTTTGAGAGAAGAATGTGTTTGAAAAAAACCAGACTTAAATAACTTCAAGATGAAATGAAATGACAGCATTTTCTTTAGATCAAGCCCTAAATCTGTGCTTTCAAAATTGAGCTGCTTGGAATGTTCTGCTTACGTTTATGCTTGTATACATGCTAACAGTGGCAGTATTTATAAGCAGAGAAATGTCCCTTCAAAAAATGAAGATTCTGGTTGGTAAAGTGGCAAATTAAAAAAAAAAAAAAAAAAAAGGCAAATCTCTGCCATAGCTTAGATTCACAGCTACATTACGTAGGATTAAAAATAAAGAGGAGTTGAGAAAATTTTCCAAAATTGTTATCATAAACCAAAGCATCTCCTTCCAGTCTGTTGTATAAACGCAGAGATAGCATGAAGTAATGCCAAACTGGCTCTTATTTCCAATGGTTTATTACTTGGCTGGAAAACTCTGGTCTGCTTCAGGCTGAAGTTTGGTATTTATGGTCACTATCTGAAGTCAATTTAAAACTGAATCATGAATTTGAAATATTTTTATTATTTTCAAAAGTATAAGCTCAGAATTATGACCCATTATAAATTCCTTTTTCAGCCTAGCAACCCCCAAATGGTCATATTTAATTAAAAAAAAATTTGCAGCTTGCCAGACTTTAATACAGATCCTAAATTCTGCGTGTGGAGTTGTCAAGAGTGTATCAAAAAGAGGAAAGAGCAAATGTACGCACGTGCTATTTTGGTAAAGGCATGGCCAGAAGTTAACACTGTGCGTTGGGGATGAAGGACTAAATTCTGGTGAGAACAGACTCTGTTCCAGCAAGCAGCTGGACCTCCAGCTCCGTGCGCTGCCCTGGGTTAACCTGAGCATCTCAGCCCCATCCATGGCTCGGTGAAGAGAGGTGCAATGGCCTCGGGGGGTCCAGCAGCCGAGGGACGCGCTGAGGGCTGGGCTGAGCCTGCCCCGCTGCGCTGGCACGCTGCGAATTACGGGTGCTCTGCTCTAAGGCTGGGGCACTTTGAGCGTTGAAGTTCCTACAGCGGTCGAATATAGTAGAGCAAGTAGAAATATCTAAAACTAACAAATAAATGTAGGAGATGATAAAATCATACCTGTGTTTTTCTTTCCCTCTCATAAACACAAGTGTACATGCAGACACAAACACACACACACATGCAGTCCCTCCTCATGCTCGCCTGCAAGCACAAAATCAATAGAAATGGTTTTCTCTGTACTAAACCAAATTCCTCTAGTTCTGTGCAGTTTTTGGCAAACAAAACTTAGATTTTCAGTAAGGGAAATGCTTAGGGAAATGGGTTTCTCATTCGTTCTATCCAATGCTTGAATTTATTTGTGGGAGAAAATATTCCCCATCTGACTCAGTAAATATTCCCTTGGAGAGCCCTCTTTTGCAGTTCAACCCCCAAAAGCAGCATCTGATCTCCATGTAGGCAGGAAAGCACAATTTAAAGCTCAGTATCCAGGCAGAACCTGGAGGTCTCTTTTGAAAGGAGCTTTCTTAATGCCATATTTATGTGTAGGGGAGGGTTTGCGTATTTTCAGCACATGGGTATGAGTACGGGCTCCTCTGAAAATAGTGCTACAAACCTGTCAGTAGATCAGCTTGAGGACAGGGCAAAGCCTGGGACAGTTGAGAAGATACAGCTCACAGCCACAAGCCACAGAGAAAGGTTTTAGTGAGCGATTCCTGGCTGTGCCGTGCTTGGCAAAGCGAGCAGAGATAGGAGGCTGAGCGCCTTCTGCCAGGGGAGGGCTGGGGCACCCACCGTGATGGGTGCTCAGCTGCTTCCCTCAGCAGCTGAACGTGTTTTCCTGCCATGTTCATGATCTATTTTGAGGCAAGACAAGGGTTGGGCACACTCAGGACCTGGTTTAGACATCAGTGGGATTAGCAGCTGCTGTGGCACAAACTACTGGAAGTTGCAAGAGGGCTGTGAGGGAGTAATGCTGGCTCTGCTGCCGACTGCTCTGCTGAAGGGGAGAGGGACCGGCTGTCGGAGAGGTGCACAGTCAATCTGTCCTACGCCAGCACAGCCAGACACACAGTCAGGCTGCCCCAGCTGCCACTCCAAGGCGAGGGCACATCGGCACTGCACCAAAAAAGGGGACCGTCCCCTTCAGCAGCAGCTGTTGCTCCAACCGTCCTTGCACAGCGGCAAGTCCGAGTCCAGCTTCTGCAAGAGTCAGGGCCTGTCTGTGAGCAGCGAGTGCCGATGGGTCCAACAGCAGAGCCACGCAGCCCCCTCCCCTGCAAGCCCCCAGTGCTGTGGACAACGGGGTTGAGATGCTATCGCATTTCTAGCAGTTGACCCTCATGTGGGCAGATATGGCAGAAGGGGTGAAAAACAAGCCACAGGAAAATAAATTGTTTGCTACTACAATAAGTTTGGGTTAGCATAAGATAATGCAAAGTTATTTGCATCCTAGCCTTTCCCTATTACATTTGCGCTGTGTAAAATAAGGACATAATATTCATCATAATGAAAAACTTGGCAATGCCTAAGGGAGAGATGATCTTTGCCCCTGTGCAATACACGCCGACAGAGAATTAGAGCTGCAAAATAAGAGGCAGTGGGCCACAGGTGGATTTATGAACATATACATTACTGTGAGGTCCGTGCCATCCTTGGCTTGGCCACTGGACCTTCGTACGCTTTCTGCAGGATATTGTTTCCTGTATTTCCTTAATCAGTCCTCAAATCTTTTTGTCTTGCCAAAACTGGGAATAAATTCTGCCTTGATTTAAAACCTTGCCCTATTTAACACATTTAACGAGGCAAAAATCTGTTTTGCAGCCAGAAATCCTTTCCATGAGGCACTTCCTCAAATTACACGGACTCTTGACTAAAACAGAGGTCTGGTGAGTGCCACTGCTCCTCAAATCCATGTTTCACTTCCTGCCTAAATTGTGCTGAAAAAAATCAGCTTTCTTTTAAATTTCCTGCACTTATGGATGCAACCTTGTTTTGGTAAACCCTTCATGCAGCAGTGGGTCTGCAGAGCTTGAAATAATTGTTCCCAAGTCAGGAGCCGAAGGGGATCTTCAGGCCAACTTCCCACCCAGCTCTAGGTAGCAAATGATGGAGAAGGTGAACTCCTGGCCCCAGGCTGTTGTCAGCAGCACAAAACAGCAACTGATTATCAGGGACTGCTAATTCTGAAGTTTAAACAAGGCTGACCAACACTGGGTCTGGAGACCAGATGTACTACGGCTATGGTTTGCTCTAACAAAATGCAGTTTCAGAGTCCTAGCAGTGTGCAATCGCTTTGCCGGCCACAGCTGAATTTGAGGATGTTCCCCTTTATTGTTAAGGGGAGTTTTTATTAACGTACTGACTACAAAGCAGATGGTGTCAGAGCAAACATTCAGTAAAGGTGACAAAAGGGAACAGCAATGATATCCCTCAGGGGTGCAAAGGGGAGGAGAATGGACCCCCCCACATTTGGGGGGGGTACAAGCCCTGTGGCTTCCCTGCAGTGCAAGGATTTTAGATGGGCTGATGCACTTAATATTCATGTGAGCAAGGCTTTGGGAGAAGCCTGTTACATGGACTCTGATCCACAGCATCAATCAGTCTGTCTTACTAGTTCCATTAAAAATATGGCAATTAAGATAAATTCAGGACTGCAGGACATTCAGGTCTATACACTTACCTTTCACATAAAAGAGGCATATATACAAATACATGTGTTTTTTTATGATAAAACCCTCCTCTGCTCTGAACACTTAGATACTGCAGCCCAGCTGCAACCATTTCTGCGATACCATTGCTGGTAGTCAGCATTCTGGAAGGCTGGTGTCCAGCAACAAGGAGTTTTTATGATTTGCTTTGTAATCTATCAGGTTATGGCAAATTTAAGGACACAGTGAAAATAAAGGAAAAGGAAAATATCCTGGAAACAGATACATTTCTATTTCCACAGACTTTATCTTGTTTCAAATCTCAGGATCCCAATTAAAGGGATTCCAAGCAAATTATTTGAATGAAACAATAATAATAAAAAAAGGATGCAATTTCAGATATTTGCTCTGGTACATTAAAAGTTTATAACAGTATTGTGCTTTGATGGAAAAAGTAAGGTTTGCCTAATTCTTCTTCTTTTTTAAAGATAATTAATAGAATTACCCTGAAATCCTGAATGATCTGTACTGACTTTTAAAATCATAAATATTAGATCATCCACTTGAAAGAAAAGCAATGTTTAAGGTCCGTAAGGATCATTCTTAAGGTAGATTTTGCACTGAGGAGAGCTCAGTGCGATGGCACCAGCCGCTCAGCATTGCACTGATTTGGTCTTTGTGCCACCTTCTCCATGGGTGAGGACAGGACCCGGTGCCAGATCTCGTGTCCCTACGGCCACTACACTTGTGCTCTGCCCTAAGGCCAACACCTTCGGTGGCTGCAGAGGAGACCTCCTCCGGCAGCATAACCAGTTCCCTCCTGTCACTCAGAAGTTAATACAGGGATGCAAAAACAATTGAAGAGGGTGTGGGAAAAGTGTAGGAGCAAGCGATCAGACAATTAAGATGGGATACTCATTGTGTCTAGTGCTTACTCTGCCATATTCAGGTGTCTTGTAAAATGAAATGATGTGTCACCTGCAAATGCTCTTCATACGAAAAGGATGGCACTTAAATAAGTGCTTTTTGATAATTAAAAAGGAAGGTCTGCCTGTTGATTTTCTAGTTTGTTGTCTAAGTGGCCTGAAGGACCTTCTCAAACTCCTTGCTTTGCCTAACTTCTGCTTTCAGAGCAGAAACATAGTTTAAGCTAAACAGTACAACTATGTGAAACACTTATATGTTTTATTTACACACACCAAATCTATGCTCTAGTCATCTTTCCCTGTTTTCTATTAATTCTCAAAGTTTTAAAAAACCAAAACGAATCAAAAAAAAAAAAATCCAACGCTTCTTTACAGAAAAGCTGAGGGAAATCTGCTTGAGAGCTGAAGGTATAATTAAGTTTAGAAGGGGTAAAAAAAAAATAATAATAATAATAGGGAAATGTGAACTTTAAAATGATGATGAACTCTCATTGTGTGAAATAACATGGCTCTGTTTGAATGAGCCCCTGTTTAAGAGTGGAGATAGCGTTATTCTATTTCAGGCACTCTGAGTAGGCGAGCAAATTTTCACTGTCGAAAAAAAAATCTAATAAAATCCAAAGGACAGCAATGAACTTCTCTAGATTACCATGGAGATAACATTTGCTTTGTTTGTCATATGTGTCATCATTACCTCCTCTAGTTCATTATTTCTATAAGTGATTTTTTATTTGCATTTCTCTCAGACCCACTAAATCTGAAAGATTTCTGCGCTGTGAGCACAGTGTTAGTGCCGCTTCCACTCACTCAGTCATCCCAGGACAACAACTTTGAACGGACCTATATGGGAAGAATGAGACACCACAATTCACAAACACACCATTTATTCTCATGTCACTTACTATAACTACTGTCCTCCTCTTTTGTTCCATCAATTGTTCCATCTGCTTGCAACTGCAAGTGGTATCCTTGCCTGCTGTATAGCTTTGTTACTATACCTTTAAGCTGAGGCTCTGTAAAAAAACAATAGTGAGATTAATGTGGGAAATCCTGATGTGCCATTCCAAGTGAGCAGGATGGTAAAAACAAACCTCCAGGTTTCTTCTCGAGGCTGAGATATGAAAAAGACCCAAAACAAAAGCAGGGCAACCAGTTTTGCAACACTTTTCATTTAGGTTGAGATCAAATTTATGTCTCTGAAATCAATTACCAAAATGATTAAATGCTACTTTCAATTGCAATGTAGGTAGGACAGCAAAATCTACTTCCAGGGAATACAGATTCCAACAGTGTGCTGCTTGGCCTCAGGAGCTCAGCCCTATCTCATTTAAGATTAGAAATGAGCTGGCAAGGAGCGTATTCCGCCTTTTAAAAAGGTGTGAGTTCTTAAATGGAGAGGAAAAAGAGGACTACTACGATAGCGCTAATAAGAGCCATAGTGACAGTTGAGAGCCTAAATATATAGCAGCAAACGTTTAGCACAGGAACTGCTACAGCTCTAATAAACAAACCCCCATTCCATGCTGCTCCAAAGAGTACAGAGCATCCAAAGTGATAAACTACTCAATGAACATATGGAAAATGGAGGGGGCAACCCTGAAATCCAGCAATGTGTGGAACTGCAAAATAAATATTACCATAAGGGTTGAGGTAATTACCTCATCAGCTAGAAGAAGAAAGATCAAAACAACGCAGAGTTTGGATAGATTTCTTTTTTTCATAACCATCCTCAGATTCACAGTTAGAAAGCAAAATATCTCATACGTTTTCAGATCATTCTAGACCAAAAAGTAACAGCAACGGGATCTGCTGTCAAGTCTGTCATTTAAGATATCTAGGTAATGCACCAGGAGTAATTGCAAAAAAGGTCTACTTCCACTGAATCCCAATGACATCTGCATTGTAGTCATTTCACACAATTATGCTCGTCAGGAGGTGATGCATCTCCGCAGCTCGCTCCACAACAACTAACTTAATTCCGAGATAAACATACTGTGAAGATATAACGTGTCATTTCCAACAGCCAATGTCTGGATAAGACTCCTTGTGTTTGTAATCAAAGACATTGGGGAGCTCTGCTACTGTACTTCATTTTAGTAAGAGCTGAAGGCAAAAGCTTACAATAGTTTGCATAAGTATATTACTTCTATTAGCAACCTTTAATAAGGGTATTGACAGATGCGCAATTCTTATAAACCAACTCTTCTGACAAGAAATTAATCCAACCCCTACTTCGGGTTTTTAGCCATAATACATCCCAAAGCTGTTTGCAAATTGTGAGCGAGGCACCTCTGTGGTTGCTGAGAAAGGCAGACAGGTTAAGTGGCTAACGGCATCAATGTTTCAGCACAGCAAAGCGATAGCAACATTACCAGAGGGTTTTGCTCCTCCCATGTACAAAAAACCCCACTCAGATCAGGGACTGAGTCTTTATGCCTTATCTTTTGCACCTCTGACACAGAGAGCATCGTGTCTGCAGGGCAGCTGCATGTATGAGATTCCTCGAAAGGAACAGAGCGCTGAAGCAAAACTCTGAAAGGTGCCAGCGAAAGCAAAAAGCCTCATCTGCAATTAGCAAATAAAGCACGGCACAGGCATTCTGTGAAGCAGGAAGACAAAAGGAGATCTCCACACCTCTAAGTTATTTAACGTACAACTGAGGGAGGTGTACGTGTGGGAATTTCCCCTGCAAACATCTCCCCTACAAATAAATCACATGTGTGTGTGTATGTGTAAGACAAGCTACTGAATTACCGGTACGTGGGTGTGCAAGTGAGGCAGATAGCAATGGTGTGTGTTATCCAAAGAAACCAGATGAAGATGACGGGGAAGGGATTGGCATGGGATACCCACGTCTATCAGATCATACAAGCCAGGAAGGGCAATACCTGCAACGTTCATTTTACCAGCCCTGAGACATCGGTCCCCTGTTCCCCACGCCTGACGCACATCCCAGTTTGCATTAAATTAAACCAACCCCCCAAAGACATAACCCTTGCCAACCTGGTCGCCGCCTTCGTCTTTTCTTGGAGCCAAAGAGTTTGACCCTGGAAAACACATTCAACTTGTTCTTGTCGCAGCTTCCCTTGCTCTTGCTGGGGCTGTTGACACACTTACAGGCATTGGACTTCTCCCGCTCCCTGGCTTGTCTCTTCTGGCGGATCAGGGAGCTGGC